AGCTGGTTGATCATAACAGTGTGCATGCTCTGTACACATGTCGAATACTCCATTGGTGTAATTTAGAATGTTGTAGGGTGGGTCCTAGATGAGTCTATCAATGTGTGGTCGCCTCTCGAAATTACTAGCTACCTATGTGATTCTTGCGCAAGCAGTGACACTGGAGACTCTGGAAGCGCCCACACAAACCAACCCAAGAAAATTCTACAAACATCGGCCAACTTTCTCTACCATTATATATATTAACACTTGATTCCCTTTGCCTTTGTAGCACAGAGTAAGCAGTCAAAGAAAACTATCAAAGAAGCAAGCAGCAGGCAAAAAGCTAGCAATGGAAGATGAAGTGGTTCTGTTGGATTTCTGGCCAAGCCCTTTCGGGATGAGGGTGAGGATTGCCCTGGCGGAGAAGGGCGTCGAGTACGAGTCCCGGGAAGAAGACTTGAGCAACAAGAGCCCTCTGCTGCTCAAGATGAACCCTGTTCACAAGCAAATCCCAGTTCTGATCCACAAGGGAAGACCGATATGCGAATCCCTCATCATTGTTCAGTACATTGATGAGGTTTGGAGTAATAAAGCCCCTCTGCTGCCTTCTGATCCTTACCCTAGAGCCCATGCAAGGTTCTGGGCTGACTATGTTGACAAGAAGGTTGGTTATTTCAGTATATTCGTCAAACTGTGATTTTAACTATTTAATTATCTAATCTTTACCCGCAAACCATGACTAGGTGTATGAAACATTTCTCTTTTGTGATTTTAACCAGTTATATATTTTAATACGTACATATGTCAAACTCTGACTTGCACGTAAGAAGTTGGTGTTCTTTCTAACTGGGTTTTTGTCGTCGTAGATTTATTCGACAGGGAAGTTGGTGTGGGTAACCACAGGTGAAGTCCAAGAGGCAGCAAAGAAGGAACTGATAGAGTGCTTCAAGCTGCTGGAAAACGAGCTAGGGGACAAGACCTACTTTGGGGGTGAGAGTTTTGGCCTAGTGGACGTGGCACTTATCCCTTTCTATAGCTGGTTCTATGCACTGGAGACCTGTGGAAACCTGTGCATGGTGAAGGAGTGTCCGAGGCTGGTGGGTTGGGCAAAGAGATGCATGCAGAGGGAGAGTGTGTCCAAGTCTCTGCCTGATCAGTACAAAATGTATGACTTCCTTTTGGAGCTTAGAAAGAAGTTTGATGTCCATACCTAAGACATTAGAGCTTTAGATTTATCAAACTTGTTCAGGCATGGATGGATGAGTATAGCCTATATGTGATCTTCATGTCCCTAAAGTGGAAAATATGACTGTATCTACCTTTTTATTTTAAAATAAATTGCAAACAATGACGTTTATAGTTTTGAGTTTAGTCAAGTTGGTTAGAGCAGTGTGCTATATATTTTTTTTTAATTGCTTTTTATAAACAAAGAAAATGAACTCTTTTGTATTTATTTCTGTTGCTTGTATAGGAACTATGAAATCAAATCAAATACCAAACAATTTGCTTCTAGTTCGATATATTTTAACCAGAAGAAAAAGAAAGAAAAGTCTTTTAAAACAATTTAATTCAATCGAACACTCAGGCATAACCATAACACCAATTTATGCTCCTTATCCAATGACCCACCAGTTTGGATCGGGACAAGGTGATGATAACAAATCGCTAAACATGTCAAATGTATCGTCCTGTAGGGGCACGATGGCCATATCCACAGCGATTGAACCTGCAATACACGACTTGTGAAACATATGCTTACATGGCATCTCCTTGGCTTCAACTCCCACCTTCATGTTTTCCAAGCAGATACAACACTCCGCCTGGTCCTTCGTCGGTCGGCATAGTAATGGCATCGATGGCGGTGTTGGACAGCACCGGAAGCAGCCCCTACCGGGTCGTAAAATAGAGAGGCGGAGCGCGTGGTAGTACAAAAGAATTCTTCGGGCAACATTTTCAATTTCAAAATAGATATTTCTGAAATCATAAGAAGAACAACAAAACATTAGGATCATAGATTTAATAAATCAAAATTACGATAAAACAATTATTATTTTCTTATTTATAAAATACAGAAGACATGGTTCTTACGGATGCGTCTTCTTCTTTCAACAAGCGAAAGTGTTTTAGCAATAACAGGGTTTGCTTAGAATAGAAAGTATATTTTGTGAAAGCAGAGACACCCTTAATATACCGATTAGTGTTTCTCTAAAACCGCCTATTATAGTTAGTAGAGAGATACATCAAATTACTATTAAATTAAAATATTGTCCCATCAAGGCATGTACAATATGTCTGTCTTAATTAGAGTTTCAATTAGTCAATTAAATGTATCTTGGTTCCATATCTTGATGATAAAGTTATTACCTTTTAAGTAATTCAGTTTATAATAATTGACAACTCAAGATGAGTCTTACAACATCTCCACGGATTGCTTACTAGAGTCTGAGATACAGCGAAGGATATTTTAGGTCAAGGCTTATAAAAGGCATGTATATGCATGCAGCTGCACGCTTAAAACCTAGTTTGTGATGGACAATCCCACCTCGTCTAGGAAACCCTAGTTTGCACAACTAATTACAGAGGACCAGAATGGAATAGGAAAACATAAAGCCTAAGAATTGAAAAGAAAGAGCAAACAGGCACCAAAAAGAAAAAAGGAAAGTCACTTTTTTCCCTTAGGAAATAAAATTTCTCTCTTTTTTGTTAAGGTTTTCTGGATCTCTTATTTCCCTTTTCTGGATGATATTTTTTCTTTTTTCAAGTAGGATTCCTCTATCAATTAGAGTTATCTTCTCTATATAAAGAGTACTTTGGTAAATTGTGGATTAAGATCAAAACTTTGACCTCGAACGATCACTCAATTCCTATACATCTCTCTCACCTCAACAACGAGTTCAGCAACATGGCTTTTGTTAAGAGGAGCAAAAGCCGAAAAACTGTCACGTTCGATCTGCCGGAGGTGGAATGTGCTGAGTTTGATCATGGTGGAAACGAAAATCAAAGTGGTAAGGAAAAAATTGAAGGTAAAAAGAAAGGTGGCTTCGTAAGACGGCTTAAAAAGCTTATCAGCAAAAGACGCGAGTGTGCCCCTAAGGAAAGCAGACGTTATTATGATGAACATGAAAACAAAAGATGCGACAAAGATGACGACAATAATAGTAGTGTACTTGACTCAAATCGCGATGAAGATGATAGTGACAACAATAGTAGTGTGCTTGACTTGCATTCCGACGATGAAGATGATAGTGACAACAATAGTAGTGTGCTTGACTTGCATTCCGACGATGATGAAGACGATGACGATAGTGATGAGGACTTGCACAAAAAGGCTCAACATGACCATACAAGCCTAACGCATCGTGGTCGTGAGAATGCGAATCAGATGAGCTCTCCTGGCAACAGATATGCGTACCCAGCTAGTTATAACACGCATATGTACCCAACTAATAACATGTATTATAACTCAGCTTATCACACGTATGCATACCCAAGTTATAACCCAGATTACAACATGCGTGCGTACTCAGCTTATAACGCGAATGCGTACCCAGCTTATAACTCAGCTTCCATGCACGGTGCCATGCAGGAGTACCCAACGAACAACATGAACATGCCACCGAATTCGGTGCCACCACTTTATCATACCTTCAACTACTTCACTGAAGAAAACCCTGCTTGCACCATCATGTAAAAGATAGCTACAATTTCTTTTTCCTTTTTTTTTTTTTTTTTTTTTTCCTTTGCCAGCAAAGATTTCTAGAATTCTTTTTTATTTTTCCCTTTTTGGTCAAACTAATGTTTTATTTTTTGTTATTGGATTTTTGTTTATTATGGTATTTTAATTAATGCTTGTTGTTGCTTGTTCTTTGTTTTTTGTCTCATGTGTGATTTGAACTTTACCAAATTATATTGTCTAACTTAACTAAAATATATAGTTCTCAAATTTGTCTGCATTTTCTGAGATCATTAGATTTCCCTATCTATGGCTCAATGAAGAAGGAAACAAGCAAACACAAGCAGCAAAATGGGACATGTCGTACTGTTTGTGTAATTTGGATAAAAAAACTTTGAACCCTTCGATATATGATGAGATTATCTAACTTAGTCTCCAGAACAATTAGAATACGAGAAAATTTGTTGTGTCACGGTGTTATGTCCCGTTGTTGTATCTCCAGCAGTAGCTCATCAAGTGAACAGAGTTTTGATCGAGTTCCCTCAACTGGCAGCAATCTTTCTTAGTGCTAGTGGCTTTTTTTTTTTTTTTTTTCTCCCTAAAAGTTGTTTTATATAAGGATAATACTAGTAAGACTAAATTTGTAGGCACAATTTTGTAAACTCAATGACATGGAAGTTGATGATTTGATTATGACTTAAGCGTTAATAAACATACTCATTCTTATTAGTGACATATAATTTAATTTGTAATTTTTGTCTACAAATTTAGTCCCCTAAAACTTCCATTTATATAAGGGAGTTTTAACAAAACACTCCCGGTACTGTTTACTTTTAACGAAAACCCACATTTATACATTTTCCTGGTACTATTTACTATACCTTTAAAAATGACTTTTCATTAAAAGGGAATTTTTTTTGAACTTTTGATTAGTTTTCTTTTTATATAATAGTCAATTATGCATTCTTGATTTCTTCTTTTTTCTGAGAATTAGAATACCACATCCACCCACAGAATTTAATGCCTTCAAATTGTTATTTCGTGTAGGCTCCACCTTTATTTTGATTTCTTAAAAGTTAGGGTGTTAGATTTGAGTTCGAAACTCATGCTCTCCATAATCATTATAATTTTTCTCTTACCCCAAAAAAAAAAAAAAAAAAAAATCTAAGTACTCTGTAATCAAAAATCAACTATTTATTTAATTTTGATTACGAATTAGTAAATATACCATAAATGTGCAAAGTATAGGAAAGTAGGCCCTTTGACCCCAAAAAAAAAAAACAAATTCAAGGCCCAGTCACGGCATTTGAACTCCAATAAGCCCAAAAGTAGGGAAAACCCACGGGCAGCGGCAAAATTCCTCTCTCGCTGTTTTTGCCTCTCAACATCCTCCTTTCCTTCTCCTTGGAGTCTCTGCAAAACCAGCTCGTCTTCGATCCTACAGAACCCCAATCCCAAAGGGCTTCACCATCTCCTTCTGTCTCTCTCAACCTGCAAATAAAAATGGTAACCTTCAATTTCTATGCTAATTTACATCAACGTTTCCAATTTCCATGCTGATTTTCTCCGAATTTTTCCCTGCAACCCGTAATTTGAAATGGGTTTTCTGTTGGGTGTGTGGGTTTGCAGTTGTTCTTCTCGTATTTCAAGGAGTTGGTGGGGAGAGAAGTGACGGTGGAGCTGAAGAATGACCTTGCTATCAGAGGAACACTGCACTCAGTGGATCAGTACCTCAACATTAAGCTCGAGAACACTAGGGTTGTCGACCAGGACAAGTACCCTCACATGGTAACCATCCTTTTTTTTGTCTTTTCACGTTAACGTTTGCCTCTACTATGTACTTGTCTGCGCCTGTTGGTTGTTTGCTTGATTTCTAGGGTTTGGTGTTTGGAGGGGGTAATCCTATTGATTGAGTTTGTGATGAGAAGTTAGGTTTTAGGGTTTCAAATGGGTTGTTTTGATTTTTTATTGTCTTTTGTGGTTTTGTTTTTGAAAACTTGCACCTGTTAAGTTTTTGGGATTTGTAAATAAGTAACAAGGGACTTAGCAGAACAACAATGGTAGTGATAGGCCCTGGCCATCTATGCTTTAGTATGTCCAGACTTCTGAGTGATTGTGAGCAGATTAAGTATTGATGGAGGATATTTACTCGTTGGCTTAATTGTATACCGGAAAGGCGGAAAGTTCATCACGTAATGAAAAAGACTGAGAATTTTGGCTCACTATATGATGTTTAGTCATTTGGGTTGTAATAGCCAAGACCGAGTAAATGGACGATTTGAATTTAGTGTGGAGAACTGTTATTCTCAAAACATTTGAAGGAAATGTTATGTAAGACCCCTGTAATGTACAGAACACTATCCAATAAGCTACATAAGAAATAAATGTAGCTGGATGCAAACTTTAAGATGATGGGCATGTGGAAATGTTGCGAAGTATAAAATTTGGGGATAGCACCAGCGAAAGATAAAGTGAGAGAATCATCTGAGATGGTTTTGTTGTCTCAATTGAAGATCATAGGGCTTATCATGTTGTTGACTTGAGTTAATGGCACAAAAGGGCGTACCAATAGATGAAATTTGATGTTGAGTACTCCAAACAGAAGCCCAAGCTCATTACAAAAAGAAGCATATCTTTTCTTGTTTTCTTTCTCGAGAAGGGCTTATATAAGTTGTGTGTGTAAAACAAAGAAAATATCAGTGCCTCTTGACTTAAGTCGTGGCCCATGTGAAAGAATTTTTAAGGTCAAATGGAGAAAGAAGCTTGCTTTGGTTCATCCAAAATTACCGGTTTGGTTCCTTCCTAGGAGTCATACCTGGAGGGAAGCTTTACTGAAATCTTGGAATCACTGAGTGGGGGTTTTTCTTGCCCAATTGTAATAGGATAAACTAAACTTTTCCTGTGAGAAATGTTCACTAAATCATTCTAGGTCACTTAATTGTGACAAAACGTATTTATAGTTAAGGTGCGTGTTGTAATCTAGTTTCAGGGTTTATGAGTGATTTGCGTCTATTACTCCTCCAATGTTTGTGTTGAATTTATGCAGTCCATGTACTTATTATTGATTTGGGTTTGACATGGTTATGAGTTTATTATGTTCATGATGTTTATGTTTATGTTTATCACTGTTAGCTTGTGGGAGTCGATCATTGCAAAGGCATTTTATGATTTTAATTTCAGGGAGCAAGTTTTCTTTTTGGGGCTGTGGGTTAAATTCTTCAGAGCATGGGTCATTGGTCTCTTGACTCTGACTCTAATTTCCTTGGTTTTGTTGGATGCATTGGATGTTCCCGTACTCTCGTGTTTGCTTTGTTAGTTCTAGTGGTTATCTATTTTATATGTTGATTTTTTCTGTCCTCATTATGCTTAAAGAATGTCTTATGGACATTGAAATTGAATTTTGTTATTATTTAACAATTGTATGATGAATGTTCTCTTGCAGATGTCAGTGAGGAACTGTTTTATTAGGGGATCAGTTGTGAGATACGTGCAACTACCCCCAGAGGGAGTTGACGTTGAACTGCTGCATGATGCCACCCGAAGGGAAGCTCGCGGTGGCTGAAGTTAACTCAGTTTTGACATCAATTAAAGAAGGGCGTGGTTGAGCACTGAAATGTTGTGTAATTTTTTTTCCTACATTTCTAGTCTTTTACCAGTACCTTCTCTATGACAAGTTCATGAAGGCTTCTCCTACTAGACCGTAGTTCCGCTTTATGAAACATCTTGGGCCAGTGCAAATTAGTGTTTTTTATCTGTTGCAGTGCATTTTAGTTGAAATTGGGGCATCCAGAACCTTGGCTTCACCATTTGTATTGTTAGTTTTTCCGAGATTGTACCTCGTGCGTGTCTATGATTGATTTGGTTAGAATGTTTTCTACTTCTTCATTAGTTGATTAAAGAGAGAAGGTGAAGGAAATGGTTGTATTCTCGACAACAATACCGTGGATGCGGTGGTATTCTTAATCACTTGAGCAACGAGTATTTTTAAAGAATCGAGTACTGTGAGGTGGTGAATCACGGCTTGGAGCGATTTTATGCCGTTAGACAGGGAGCTCACAGTGTTTTTTGCAAGAATCATCGTGATCTCAATCACTTGAGCTACAACACTATTGTAGAATACGAGAAACATTTTTGACAAAAAAACAAAACTTCAAAATAAAACGAAGCTTTTATTCTCTCTCTAAGAAAAACATTAATATTTTTTTCTCTGCCCTTAGGGTGTTAATAACAATTCTAAATAAAAAAACTTTGTTTTTTGTTTCGCAAGCTGTAGATAGAAATTCTTCTTCAACCCACTACATCCCGTCATCCCCATTTGTAGAGTTGTAGCTCAAGTCCTAAGTAGTGTTATATATTATTGTACGCTAGGGCAAGTGAAGCCCAACTGAGAAGCCCGCCAGCTGATGCCCGGCCCGCTTTTCCGAAGTCGACCCTTCCTTCCTTGTTCCTCCCTTTACCCGCTCTCTCTCTCTTGCTCCGCTGCTTCGTCTTCCTCAGGTGCAGAAATTGCCATTGTCCAGTTTTACCGCCTTCACTCAGTCAATTCCCAGAAGGGCCACAAGGTATTTATTTTCTTTAAATTTAATTTCCCATTTTTTCACTCCCGGGCTTCTATTTATAATTTCTTATTCAGCAGCAATTTTCTACTCCTTTTTTTTTTTAAAAAAAAAAAAAAAACTGAACTTGAATTGTTCTTGGTTGGTGGTGTTTTCTAGTAATGGTCAATTGGTTGTGGTGTAGCTATAACTCTGAAATTCTGAAAATTTTGTTATTACTTAACTCTTTGTAGCTCTGTTTAACCAAATCATATTAATCAGTGCTGTGTCTGTGTTGCTGAAAGAAAAATAATCTGGATAATATATTTTTTGAACCTACAGGACTCAATTAACCATTTTTTTGAAGAAGTTTAGTGAATGGAATAAGAGGTTTTGGAGGTTTAACCCTTCTTAAATTGTAATCCCGACTGCGAGGAGCAACGAAAACTGGACTTGTAATATGGAGGAAATAGAGGCATTGTGGAAAGAAGTAAGGGAGCTAAGTCTAGGCGAGTCGGGAAGAGTGGAGCGGTTGGAGTTCCCACCCACCCCTCTCCAATTCCTTAGAGATTATGTTAACCAAAACAAGCCCTGCATTATATCCAATGCCACCCTCCACTGGCCCGCCCTCTCCTCCTGGACCGACGATTCTTATCTCACTGAAGCCCTCTCCTCTGCTGACATTTCCCTTCACCTTACTCCGCACGGCCAGGCTGATGCCCTCGTCCCCTTGGATGGTTCTCTTTGCTTTGCGTCTGCTCACGTGCAGCGCATGCCCTTCCCGAAAGCTCTCAGACTCATCACCAACAATGACTCCCAATCGAAACTGGTGGCCTATGCGCAGCAGCAGAACAACTGCTTTCCATCAGAGTACTCGGCTTTAGCTGGGGATTGTGACCCCCATATCCCATGGGCCAGTGAGGCCCTTGGCTGCCTCCCTGATGCAGTCAACATGTGGATTGGCAACCATCTGTCTACAACATCGTTTCATAAGGACCACTATGAGAATCTCTATGCTGTTGTGACTGGGCAGAAGCATTTCCTGCTCCTTCCTCCCACTGATGTGCATCGAATGTATATCCGCGGCTACCAATCTGCCCAATATGCGTATTCTCATGACATTGGAGAGTTCACGTTGGAACTGGAGAAGCCAGACAGATATGTGCCTTGGTGTAGTGTCGATCCTTACCCTTCTCCTGAGGACAGGGATAAGCAGCTATCTGACTTTCCTTTGTATTTCGACGGTCCTAAGCCCTTTCACTGTACTGTCAACCCTGGAGAGATTCTTTACCTGTAAGTTTCTGCCATCATTTTTGCACTCATTTGTTTTTTTGTTCTTTTGTCTATTTTAATCTCATCAGACTTTATTCACTTCCAGTTTTGTACAATTCTGGGCATTCTCATTGCGTACTTTGATACCTAGTCCTTTCCTCTCTGGATATCATCTTTATTTGGTAAACAACATATGTAAAATGAAAAGAATTTTTCACAGATTAAGATGTCCATGTTATTTTTATAACCGAATAAAAAAAATATGTGCATGATTATTTGTTTTTTTCATACTTCTATATGCTTTGTAATTTCCAAAGCCTGATATGGTAGAGTTAATGCAGGCCAAGCATGTGGTTTCATCACGTTAGACAAACTCCAGATAGCAGAGGACGCACTATTGCTGTGAACTACTGTAAGGGATCAAGAGCTGAACACTTTTCTGACTTTCTAGGTTCCACTTTTTATATGGTGAAATATTGATGTTCCATTATCATTGGCAGGGTATGATATGCAGTATGATATCAAGTATGCTTACTTCAACTTTTTGCAATCAATTCATTGCCTATCCGTTAATGCTCCAACACTGGCTGAGAAAGTGTATGAGGATTCAGATTCAGATTCGTAGGCATGTTGTCGAAGGAATGAATTGTGTTCCGATTGGACTATAGCACATTTAGCAGGACCAGAGAAGATTTAGGGAGTGATGGATGATCACCGATCATTAGTCTGGGTATCAGATTTGTCATTAGTGGACTGCACAGACTGGGAAGCCAAAGAGATCTCTGAAAGTGAACAATACAGCATTGTTGAGGTTGGGAAATTACATCAGTATTAGTCAATACAACCGGTTGATACTACATTGAAAAAAATATTTCTATAAATCATAAGAATGTCCGTTTTATTTTGTTTTTTGAAGTTTATGGTTACATTGAGGATTCCTTTGTTGTTTCGTTTGCAAGAATTAACCCAGGAAGATCACCCTATAAAATAAGTTCTGACATTTAGCTGTCAGAGATCGTGCTAAAAACTTCTATGTTAGCATCAGCAGAACTAGATTGTTTCTGTTAACATTCTAAACAAAAATGTGTTGCTAAGTAGGATGTATTATAATGCCAAGTTTTATGAGTGTTTTTGCATATATTACTTTTCTCGTATCTGTGTTTGTAGTAAACCTTTGCCGATCAAACACTAATAATTATTTAAGTAGTATTTGATCTTAGTTGATCTGCTGAGTACCTTTGCCTTGTTTTGGTTCAGTTGGACCCAAATGTTAGTTTTGGCCTGGCGATTTCATGATTTGTGACCATTGTAGAAGTGAGGGAAGTATGATAGATTAACTATTTGTGATGGAGAACACTGTTAGCTTGTGGATTGTTTAATCAAACATTGCAAACACACGATGGATTCAAATGTCAGGGGTTATACTCTCATTCTGGGGGAGGTGTGAAACTTCTGAAAATGTGAGTTGCTAGGTTTCACGACTTTCTCTGAGTTGTTTGGTTTCATATACCTTTTGTTCTCATGCTCGTGTTTGTTTTGTTGAGGTCTGTTGTTGATCAATATCTACTGGTTGCGTTCTGAATTGTATTTTACTCCTCAACACTGTATTTTCCTTTCCAACTTGACAACACGGGTCACTCATTTTTGCAAGCTTTCGGCAAGGAGCTGTATTGTTAGGGAGGATCAGCTGTGAGATATGTTCAACTACCCCTAGAGGGAATCGATGGAACTGCTGCATGATGCTGCCACCACAAGGGAAGCTCGGGGCGACTGTAGACACTGTCACACTGGTGGAAGGCCTGTTTGAGCACTCATATTCTGTAATTGCTATGCTTCATGTTTACTTTTATCCCAATACATTTTCGAAAAGTTCATACGTGCTGCAGGTTATGATTATGTGGAGCATTTTTGCTACCCAATGCAAGTTTTTGGTCTACTTACGAATAAATATGATAATTGATTGCGTTGTAACTTCGTATGTTCATCTCTTTTGGCTACAGAGCCACGATAATGGCTCTTTATTTTGCTTTCTTCAATGAAACGAAAAATTACAGCAGACTCAAATCTCCTCGGAAGCTAGAAAAAATTCCAGGAGAAGAATGAAAATTGCAAAAACAACATAACGCAGTGCCGGAAACGAGCAATGACTTCACTGTCAAGGCTCTTTATTCTTCTAAATCTCAAAGAAAATGGAGACTGCCATGCGGTCATAACGAGCTGTTTAGCAAGATTGGCTTCTGTAATCCTGGGAGAGATGACACGAAGATGATTTGTAGATCGACGACTGCGGGGTTGGATCCACCGCAAAATCACCTTCTTCCTCAAAAATTGTATCCAGCATTTTAGTCAACGGCCGTTTGCTTATTGAAATGAACTGTGGTACTGCAACTTCTGTAACGAGTACTCTTGGAGTTTGGTACTTTACCATTCCTTCCATTGCAATGGAGGTATGGAATTATGACAATGCAGTTCTAGAAAGGGAAAATTGGGAAGGTAGAGGAAGATGGAGAGGTTGAGAGAGAATATGCTGCAATGAACAATTTTCTGGGGTTTTATATAGGGGTTTTAGAGATTGAAATTTGGCTGTTACTTTTGTCTTGATGGCTACATCTAAGGACATTCAGTATCTTTCCCAATCCACCTTTAATATTCTAACTAATGAGTCCACGTTCTAATTAAACTAGTTTAATCTATGAAGAAAGGGATTCGAGCTTTTGATGCAAGAGAGCTGACGGCTGGTCTAACTCACATCTGCACAATAAGAATTGTCGATAACAATATCATTTTTATTTTTTAGCTTTCATTGTTACATTAAGGGTAAAGGGAAAACATTAGATAAAGGAGGGATGGTGGTGAGACGAATGAGGGGAAATGAAGACCAATGCATGAAACAAAAATTTGAATCATTTAACGTATGTCTCCGTATACATTAATTCTTCCACGTCCCCTTAGTCGCCCCCTTCTTTATCATTCTCCTTTCTCCCTTATTTCCTCAAAAACAATAAATTAAACACAAAATGGTTACTAAACAAACCGTCTATAAATCATAACATGATATGTCAACTTAATTATGGTTACCAAATAGACCTTTAGCTAATCAATAATCATAACATGATAAGTTCACTTAATTATAGTTACCAAACAGATATTTGGAAACATTTCAGGAAAAAAAAAAAAAAAAAAAAGCATATCCTTTGTATTGATTCCAAGTTTCCAACCGAAAAGTCAGAAAACAGATCAAAGCGGATATCTAAATTGTTACAGAAAGTGGATGAGTACGAAGTGTAAGATTTGTTTTGAGGAGGGACCAGTTGGGTGCGTGTGGTTGGAACATGTAGCAGCATCAGCACGGCACCTAGCTCCAGACAAGTGCCATACTTATGAGATGTAGTTTTCCACCAAAAAAAGTGTTTATTGTAATGTTATCTTCAAACAGCTAGAAGAGCTTGCATGAAATAGATCCATCGTCACTTTATGTTTTCGTCTGGTAATGTATTTAATTACAAGACAGAAAATAGAATTGCCAGAATGACTGTAAACCGTTCCACGTTGTTCCAAAGAAAATAGAATCGCAGCATCGCATCGCATGTGTGACCGGACTTCTTTTCTTATGGCAGCAGTAGATCATGCATAAAGTAGGTTGAATGCAAACTTTATAATAAGGTTTTAAGGCCCATCGTTTAGGTTACTGCACTCCATATGTGAGTGTATAAAAAATTGTAAAATGATTCATTTTTAGAATGCATATGGCTAAAATATAATTATCGAAATCGTATCTTAACATAAAGAGGTGCATGCAGAAAGAGTGTCCAAAGTCACTTCCTGACCTCCTCTATGATGATGACTTCAAGCTTGGAACAATGTAGTATGTTGGAGGAAACATATACAGGCACAAGCCACAGGTATTGATGTGGGAATGAGTTGTGTTCAAGTTTAGTCATTTATATTTATGTCGTGTTTATATCAATTCATAGGTTGATCAACGTGCAAAATGATATAAAAATAATAATATGATGATACAATATACTCATATTATGTGTTCGGTAGAATGATAATAGTTAATTGTGTTTTAATAATGCATACATTGGATCTATATTCACACGAATTTCAAGTTGTGTAAGGTATTATGTCAATTAATGTCTAGGCGTTTGAAAATTAAGAAATGACGCTTAGACCTGCTGAGGCGCCTACCTAGACCGTCCAGACCCATCTAAACACCTGCCTAGGTTGCAACTCACTTAGATGGAAAATAGATAACTTTCCTTTTGCATTTTATTGTTTCGAATAAATTGTAAGAGACTTATTGAACACTTAAATAAACACACATTATATGTTTGTTCCCTATGTTTTCATTATGTTCTAATACTTCATAATATATATGTCATTTTATTTTCTAGTTTATGATGAAATTATAATTATATATATATATATATATTAAGTATAAATTGACATTTATTTATACGAAATATAATATATTTACTTAAATCTACCTAGTTCATTACCCGACTAGTACCTAGCGTCTGTTAGAACCTTGTAAGAAAGTGATTCAGTTACATTCGATTTCTTTAGATCCATGTGCTGCCTTTCAAGTCTCAACCTGTTTTGGGTTTCCTCATATCTAATCTAGCTACAAGTAAATGGCACTGGACCACGTGTTGTGCCTTTTATCATGTTTCTTTGTGGTTGATTTGGTTTTGTTGTCAAATTCTTGTTAACCTGTTTTGTGTTTCCTCATATCTAGCTCAATGAGCTTTCATATATTTTCGACATCCCAACCTACAAGTTTATTTTCTCTTCTTGACTGCGAAATGGAATTAAGCAGTTCGAAAAAAAAGAAAAAAAAAACATTAAGGAGACTTTTAGGATGGACCATTGGAGTGTGGTGGGAAATTCCAGCTGCATCAGCACGGCACCCTTAGCACAAGACAAGATCCATCACATGTTTTAGTCGACTTGTGATCCTCTCGTAATCCTCGATCGATGCCTAACGAGCTTATTATAAAAATTTGGATAATGCATGCATGCATGCCTAGGTTTCTGATTTTTTACTTTTTATTGAAAATGAGAGTTTCCCCCTTAAAACCCATCCTTTTTATTTTTTTTCAGACATAAACCCCATTTACTAGAGTCCAACTAAGCAAATTTCCTTAACAAGCTTGGTATGTCTGTTTTTATAATTCTCTTGTTCCTAAAATACCCTCATAGATTTGCATTGCATTTGACTTATAATTAATCATAAATTTGCATTGCATTTTATTATTTTCAATGCAATTAAATGTCAATTAACCTATTATTTGATTAGACTTTTCTTTCTCAATTTTTTTTTACCAAAAATTGTTTTATCGTGAAACTAGCTTATCTTATTAGCATGCAATATATAATATAAATAAAAAAATATTATGGTGTTTTACGTTGAGACATGGACAAATAATTTCTGTCAAAAACAATTATACAAAATAATGGTTGTATTTTTTTCTTTCCATAAAAAATAATTTACCTATCTATATGTTAGTACCCACTTAGAATAGAAATCCTGTAAAAATAATTTACCTACCCCATAGGTGTGATATTGTAAAGAAAAAAAAATGTATATGATTATTATAAGTAATAATATGAATGACAGTATTATTGTCACATCCCGGCCCGGGACGGACCACTTCCCGGGCCCGCTCCACCACCGTAGCACGATATTGTCCGCTTTAGGCTCCGACCATTCCCTCACGGTTTTGTTTTTGGGAACTCATGAGCAACTTCCCAGTGGGTCACCCATCATGAAGGGGGCTAGAGCAATTCCATGATGGGTGACCCACTGGGAAGTTGCTCATGAGTTCCCAAAAAGCCTCGTGCTAGGTACAGATGAGAATATACATATAAGGATCACTCCCCTGGGCGATGTGGGATGTCACAATTATTTATATAGGTAAATTAATAAGTAGATTGGTAAATTAGTATGTACTACAAAAATGCAGATAAATTAGCTTGTAACAAAAGAATGTATGTAAATTAGTGATTTTTTCTTTTAAATATAGGTAAATAGTTTGTATCAAAAGAATGTAGGTAAATTAGTGAATTTTTAAAATATAGGTAAACAGTTTGTAATACGTTGTTTTAAAATAGGAGCTCAATTGCTCATTGCTAGTATAATTGAAGGTGTAATAATAATATTTATTGACATATATTAGGTCATTGTGGCGTAAGTTGTAAATATTTTATAAGGATATGTCATTTATTTGCCAACATGGCAAACTATTTGAATTTTAGGTTTTATTTGAATGTTTAATATGAGGTGGGTTTTTGTCTAGACAATATCAGTTACAAGGGCCTATATCTAAACAAGCCTATATATATATATTACCTAGGGGTTTACATATTATATGCTCGTGTGAAGATACTTTCAAGGATATAAACTATGTATATTGCAAAGATGACAAACATAAATCAAGAAAGAGTACAATATTGCAGATAACTTTGCAATTAGGATAGTGAGTTTTAAAATTTGTTGATGGCAATATTTCGTTTACAACTGTAAAAACCAAAATTATATAAACAAACGGCTAGAATTGTTACATGTAAAACATATACTAGAAATTGTAAAAACTAAAAAGACTTGTTTCATGTTAACATTATTGTTCTCAAAAGTGTAAACACATATTGCACAAGACAATCTCGGCAGCGGTGGATCAGATGTATGATTTTTACTCTGATGGGTCATGGTGTAAAAGTTGCAAAATTTCTTTTAGACAAAAATATTGAGAAATTTAAAATGTAACGAAATTTACCTCTTGAAGATGCCTACTTATATATAAGTGAAACTAATAAAATAAAATAAAAATCAAGATTGGTGCAAAACATATAAATTAGAAAGTTATTAGCACTCTTAAAAAGTCATATAGTGTATCTTTCCATTAAAAGTTTAGATGAAAGATTGATGCAAAATTATTCTTTTGAAGTAATAATAGCAGTTTTCAAAA